TAATTTTTGGACGAGAGAAATACTAAATAAAAAATTACTAATAATGATCCTAGTTAATCGTTGGCATCGTTTTGAAAATGTAAGAAACAATGGCATTAATTAACTATTCATTACGCGTTCTGCCATGGATATAATACTGGCTGGACGCATCGACGGACGCACAAAAGCAATGCGCGAAAAGCCCTTTGATATCTTCGCGAGGACAATTCGATGTATTTTGGAGAATGTTCGCGCACAGTCGCTTCCCTTTTGTTGTGTGCGAGGAATCGGTCGGATTAGCGAGCTATAATTTGTCATGGTATTACCAAAATGGATTAGCGTTAATAGCGCCAAGCTTGAATATTGCTTCAAGCGTAGCGATCGGAACAATGTGATAGCGAATCGTTAAAATGACGAGAGAATATTGAGTATCGTGATTGTAACGATGTTCGAACTATTACACGTGTCTCATTGGCGCATTTTGCGTATTAAAAACTCGATTCAATTCGAATTAATCGAAGATTCTTCCAAATGTCCTTGTAAGCGGTGCAACACCAATGTTAGCAAAACATACGAAGATGCGTACCAAACTCGCATCAGCCAAATTATTTTTCAGTGTTCGCGTGCAGGATAGGATTTTAATTTGCGATAGAAACTGACTTCGGTCAAAGGGATGCCTCGTCTGCTTTCTCCTTTTCCACCATCACATCCAGGAACTGCTCGATTTAATTAATGTTCGCTTCATAGGCAGTCTAAACCCCTCGCTGAGCATCGTTCGGTGTAGCCTTGTCTATAATTAAGGGAGACTTTTTCGCCTCTATACGAATGAAATTACGTTCATCCGTAAATTGCGTTTTCTTTCGCGAAATCATAATGACCCTATTTTTCGCGGAAGGAAAAAGTATTATTTAATTTCAACTTCAAGAACAGGAAATTAAAACAATGGATAAAAGGCTTCCTTGTTTTTTTCAAGTTATACTTTTTTTTTCTATTCTTTACTTGGCATAGAAACATTTAGTTTACTCGCTAAAGCATGGAAAAACGTTGAAAATATTTTTTAAGACAATAGGTATTTTCTCGACCTCGCCCCGTTAAAAGATTTCCCTCTTATTAATCTCGAAAGTATATCGACACTTGTGCTCTTTTGTACTATTGAATTTCTCTATTTTTCACATTGTTTGCTGTTGAGCGAAAAATCGGTAGTGGTGTAGTTCCTAACAAATTTCCACCTCTTACCGTCATGGTGTCGCCTCCTTCGCTATTTCGCATTCACGCTTCTCTTCATCCTATTCGATGTATATCTACATTATATACATTTTATTGTCAAGACTTAAGAAAATTTTACATAATTTTTTATTTATATTTCTTAATATTAGCTATTTTTTGTTTGATCGTTGATCAATCAACAAAATGTTGTACATCTTTGCGCTTACCTATATAGAAAAGATAAGAGAAGAAGGATAAACAATTGTTATACGTCTTGACTCGTCTCGAGTGGTTCTTAATGCAGATTCAACTGAAGATACTACCACTTAGTGATCTTTTCAACGTAGATCATCTCCTCGAGCTGCGGTACAAAGAGAATTTTTAATGAAAGTTCTTTACATTCTCGAAAGGAATCCCTTTTGCAAACCACTTAGTACACCTTAACGCGTGTACTGATTCACGTAAAGATATGTAAGGTCTTTAAGTAGGCTTCTTCTAATCATTCCGTATTATGATAAATACGAACGAAGTACGATTCTTGTTCGTTGATCGCAAATTGGCTTCGCTATTGAAACAATACCGGCGAACAGAACGAACGGAAAGAAAAAATGATAAAAAACGAAACGTTTGATAAACTTGAAGGAACTTCTTAATGAGAATAGTTATCGCGTTTAGAGACATATTACAAGATAGTTTTCATTTAATCGGAGCAACGAGTATAGACAGAGACTAACGAACATCCTTCGTAAACGGAGCACGGCATGGGCGAACGATTTGTGCGCTGTTCCGCGCTTAAAATGATGTCGTCGTGATGATGCGAAAACGTTGTTAATCGACAATCACGAGAACGATTGTTTGCCATCCTAAATAACGGCTTTAATTGCGACACATTAACTATAATAACACGATTATCGCGCTCTTATCGCGCTCTTATCGCGCTCGCCACCGTTGATTACTACTCGTCCCTATCATCCGTTACATATTGATCGATATAATTCGATGATGTTTTTTGAAAAAAAAAAAAAAAAAGAAAAAAACAAAACATGGTTGCGTCAGAATTGCTGATCCCAAATCTTCTTTTTTACTCGGAATCGCAGCGTCAACGATGACAGCAGCAGCAGCAACAACATTTCTAGAGGATATTTTCACAAGGCCGACACGAAATCGACCAGATAGTCGAGAAAGGTCGCTTTCTCGAAGTCGACTTCGCCTGAGACAAGAACAAGAATAAGACGAGGACTAGGCAAAGGAGTTGAAGTTCTCAAGACACTACGGTGTACGGTCGAGATAATGACTGGAGCTTATGCTATACAAAGGGAAAATACCAACCGTGGCTCGGACTTTGAACGCGACATTTGTGCGCTATGGTTGGAAGTTTCGTAATACCACTACGCCGGCTGCTGTGATACGAAAGATAGTACGGGCAGATCTAGAACGTGGATTGTTCTCCTTAACCGAATTTGCATATCGCCAATCTTACCAAAAATTCCTTTTTTTTTTTTTTACCTATTCTTTGCTATACATCTTTGTCTTCCTTTTTTTTTTACATAAGAGTAGAGCGTTCTCTGCAGCAGCAACCAAGAACATTCGATTCGATTACTTTAACTCGTTTTCAGCTCGTCTCTCTTTATCCCTATCGGCCGAATACTCGAAATAAACGACGTTTAATGGCATTCTCGTGGATATGCCTCTTCCTTCGTTTAAAGCCGCTAACACTCGCGTAACGTTAATTTATCAAAGGGAGAAAGAAAAAAGCGATTATTAAATGGAAGACCCTCAATGGGAAGGGTGGTATAGGGCTTCGTTAGAATAACACGTATTGCGGTGCTAGCGGCATCCAGTTTTGGATGAGATGAGACTAGAGTAAACGATATTTACGAGGTTGGGAGATCGATAGCAATTTAGCCACCCTTCGCCATTCTGTAGGAGCACCGCCGCCAGAGCATCCCCGTAGAACCGAACGCTACGGGTGGTAACCCGCCTCCTCCTTTCTTCTCTACGAGCAATCCCCCAACCTAACCATCTACCGTCTCTTTGCATCTCTGCAACATGGCCTAGTCGGAACTCATCCATATACATCGGGAAAATTAATATCTGCCTTCGTTGGCTTCGTTCGCGCACCGAATAAACTCGCTCCTGAGTTTTCTCCTCTTCCTCTCCCTCTCCCTCTCCCTCTTCTTTTCCTGCTTCACTCTCTTTTTCTCCCTTTCCACGATAACGATCGAATCTCTCGTCTTATTTTTCTACTTTTCCAATCTCCTCGTTTTCTCTTCTTCTACGACTCACCTTTCGGAGTAACTTCCGAGATTTACGTTTTTCTCTGCTCCTTCGTCTCTTTGAACGAAAATTAATTAGAAAAGTTTAGCAATAACATCATTACCGTATATACGAATAACGTGTTTCTCGTTCGACGTTAATTCGAGAATGTGTTCGTTGGTCGTCCCACCCATTCATTCATCTCCCTTTTATCTCCTCTTATTATTCGACAACGTTGTAACGAAAGGTAATGCCCGGCATATATCTGTACCGCTTATATTTACATATTTAACTAACCCAAGTAGGGAGATGCTACTGCGTAAGCATTAACGCAAACACAAACGCATCATTTCGAATGTATTCATTCCGACCGAAGCACATACTCTCGCACACTACGCAGCATACTATAAATGCTAACCTGTATACCTGAATGCATAAGGTATCGCGTGCGGGCTCGAAACGTCGATAGTCGTAAGCTAAAATTTATATATTATGTATGCTTCGTAAATTATTGTTCATGTCGCAGGTGCGTATATACGCGCTCTAAATGTGACTAAATGGAAACAATGTACCGCGACTACTCAAAGAAAAATAAAAAAAATAAATGAAAAGCATTCTCTACTTACGCATTCAAATATTTATTCTTTTTTTATTTATAATCGCGATGTAGGGAAACAAACATAAGTACATCCAAATGAAGTTAAACGCATCGTCCCACAAAGATCTTACTCCGTGAAACATGGGGATAAACAGAGCGAATGTACTATTTTTCGTTCGGTGTTAAAAACAAATAGTACAAATTAGAGACGTTAATAACGCAACGTGTCCACATTAGGGGCGATGCCAATTATTTAGATGGCACGCGTTCACTCGCGACGCGCGAAGAATCTTGTTCGTTTGTCATCACGTTGTTTTCCAAGCTCGGGGTCGCTCTATGTTTGGCATCGAAAACTATTTCTTTCACGATGTTCTCTAGAGAATAAAACGCTTTGCTATATCTTATGAAAAATTGTTGGCCCTATTAAACTGAATGTTTGATTTTTCAGGAAATGGCAGCTTGGAGCTGTTCGATAACGAGAGTGGGCCGGATCTCACGTTATCGCCGCAAACCTTTACATCAACGGCGGAAGCTTTCATCAACGATAATAGCGATAGCCTCGGTGTTCCGGGAGACAACGATACGGGTAAGTTATTCGGGATCAAGATCGAGATCGATAATAGAAAATTTGCGTCGAGTTAAAGCGTCATCTCGAGTCTCGTGCATTAATGCGTCGTAATACATTTGATTATTGAATGATAATCGATTAGAAAACAAAACAGTGGGTCATTCCATTGTTATATTATTGCGAAGACAGGAGAATACATAGAGAAAAGAGGTAAACAGGATCGCGATAGCTCTGATGAAACCGGGGACAATACATTAACGTGATTGTTGCATTCTCTCAACTCAGTAACATTGAGTTGATGGTTGCCGCGTTCGGAACACGCTCGAGACAAGGTATAACTAGTTCGAACAAGTCGGAAAGACCATTTCCGCGTGTAGTACCGCGCGCGCGACATATAAAGCCTATTGTTTCCGGCACGTAGAAAGGACCGGGGTGGTTGTACGCGAGTTCCACGGAATCGTTCATTGTTTACTCGGCGGGCACGCATTGCTCTGGTAATTAAGATGCCTACTGCTATCTTTAAATACCACTTTCCGACACTCCAAATTTTCGCCTAAAGCAAAGTCTTAAGAGCAGTCCAACGACAACTCGCTTTTTTCACAAATCCTATAATATTATGGAATCAAAGAAGCATCGTTTAAACGGCTTTGCGTGTATTCGATGGGTGGTATATCAAAGTGTGCCGTGAAAAGGCCTACGCAGTTTACATTTATACTTTATGGGATTGATTTGACATAGAGCACTTGTTCTCACGAGAGGTCCCAGTCGAGCTATGAAACAAATGAACAATCGTTTTTGCGAGTAAACAAATTTAATTTTTCTGTCGCTTGTGTTAACAGCTTTCGAAAAAAAATGAAGCATGATATTACATTCCACGGAAGATAAAAGTATTTCAAACGCGAACGATATATTGAAACAAGTCTTCGATAGCGGTGAGTTTAAAGTTTTGGTCGATCAATCGAATTGAAGCAACTCAGACAATGTATTTGACTTGGGTCTCTCTCTCTCTCTCTCTCTTTCATTTGACAACACGAAACGCAACGTTAGCTATGACACTAGGCGCGTTAATGTTGCGCCTTCGGTTTGCGAATAATATCCATCCGTTTCTCCTTTCATCGGAACTAGTCTCAGGGAGAAGCTTGCAAAAGAACGATACGTAGGTGAAAAACTCGAGAGCGAAATCGAACACGGTTTTGCTTTTTTTTTTCTTTTCTGATCTTCTTCAGTATTCTTCTTTTTTAAGAATCCTCCGTCGAAAAGAAATCACTTTGCTCTAGAGAGTTTTCTCCGAAAGAGCCAGCTGTGAGCTTTCATACACGTCGGGATTACGTTGAAGTTTATGGATCCCTTATCCAATCTCTCAAACTACCATCAGATTCCGGAATTATAGCGGACATCGTCTAGCCTAACGGATAGTCCACTTCCATCTTGCCTAGAGATCGCTCGTAAAAGGTCTCATTCGATGAAACACGCCTGGTGGAAGTCTTACTTTGACTTAGATTCCAAGTTTCACGATGTTGACTTTTTCTTCTTTCATTCATTCATCGGATTTTGAAAACGCGATAAAGCGTGAAACGCGAAAACTTTGAACATTCTTAACTTAAAAGATAAGAAAGATGAAAAGAGAGATAGGGATGGAAATGTGTCCCATAGCATACATACTGTTAGTATGCATATTTATGTATGTAAGAAGAAACGAACAGGTACAAAGGATCGATGAAAGAAGCTCGTTGCTTCTAATGCTGGTTATTCGGCTTCAACAATAATCCAGTAATACAATTTTATCGTAGTAAAATATACCATGTATAGACATTGACGATTACTCCCTCTCTCTCTTTCTCTTTTCCCCTTTCTCGAGCGTAGCAGAGAATATAAGCGTAGGAAGTATGCTTTCTTTTCTTACCTCCCGAAGGTAAATGTAAGACGATTTTCGTCGATTAGATGATGCAAAGGGAGTAAAGAAGAATAGAAGGAACGTTGGTTGGAAGCAAAAACGTCCAGATGGCAATTTGGTGGATGATACTACGAAGACGAGCTTGAAGAAGGGTACGAACGATCATAACGCGGCTAAGTGCCTGTTTGCCGATATTTCTTTGCAACCTAATGCTACGATAAGGATAATATTTTCTACTAAAGTCTACTACGGTACATTCGAAAACGATTGCCTCTACTTTCAATGCTAAACTCAAAAGGAAGAGAATTAGAACGTGCATTACTGTAAAATGCGATACGATAAGAACGATCGAGCATATAAACAAATTTCAATCAAACATTTAAACATTCATCTCACTCTATAATATAAATGAAATGTTGTTGGAACCATTTAAAGACATTTTTAAGGCTACGGATATGTATATCGTTAACGAGTTATATTTCGAAGTTAAACATGGAGAGCATATAGAATAAAGGTAGTTTGTGTCAGAAATGATCGTGCCGATGAGCAAGTTAGAAATGGAACACTTAATTGCATCGCGTTCGGTCGCACAATTTTCCCTATGATTGATGCGCGTCGTTCTGCTATATACTAAAGTGCATTTGTAGAGGATTGTGCATACAGAGTACGATACATCGTCCCTTTATTGGTATGGGCCGCAAACGAGAAGTAAATTGATCGAGACGGAAGCATCGAAGTACGCGCAGTTGAAATTTGACCACGAACCGTCTCCTCTTCCGGCTTTCTCTATGCTAACCGTAGTTTCTATTATGCACCGTGCTATGTTCTCGGGTAATATGTGTAACGCTGCCACTTCCATAATCCGCACGTTCGAAAAGGACACGCGTTACGTGCCTCAAATTTATCCGCAATATGACGAATGAATACGAGACTTATTTAACAACTCTATGAATTTTTATGAACATTGCTGTTTTTCTTTCTTTCTCTCCGTCTCTTTAGTTTCGTAGTTTTGTAGTTTTTCATCGATCCCTTTACGATTCAATGCGAGATATTTTGATTCGAGACGGTGTAAAGCTATTTGGAAAACTTGATGAGTTTTTTTAAGGAGCTTTGCCAACACACCGCGCATTATTATAATTTCTATTACCAACGACTATGCAAATAGAGCGCATTGCAATAGATGGAAGAGTGAAAAGGAAGAAAGTGAAGGAAAACAGCAATTTACTTCGCTACCTCAAAATATCTCTGATAGCCTACCACCGTCCTCCTTGTATCGATACGCGAAAAATTCTTCCCCTAAAATACATATGTGGTATATTGAAAGAGATAAAAAGAAACGGTTGGTTGATTCCTCACGTGTTTCCAAGCTCATAGCGATCGTGATAATACTATTAGGTTTGATGATCATGATGTGGTAGGGGGCGCGAAGTAATTATTCGGATCAACGCGGCGTGCTTTGTCATTGTTATTAGAGACCGAAATTAATGGTGAAATAATCGGCCGGACGTTAATGTCATATACCTCGTGTGTCAGAGTCAGGAAGTAGATTATTAGATCGTCATCTAGATTTCATCGTGGTCATTCTTTTAGACAGAGATCTCGCTTTGCAGAAAGTAATGATTATGCATTTAATTTTTTCGGTCGCAACATTTTTCAACTCCAAAATGTATGCCTTGTATCTGAAAATATACGCGACGCAATCCGAATATATAGACTTTTTCATCATAGCCTTTCAATGTTGTCATATTTTTCGGATATACACGAGCTACGCGATTTATGGAATTCGCTTGTACATGCCAGCCAACGTTTCAATCGAAAACGCTGGAATTTTATCTCCCTGCATTAGCTGTTTGGAACATCGCGCGTTCCGTCCGTTATTTCATAAGTAATGTTTCCTTGAAAAATGCTGAAAATCGCGTATGCTTTTTCGTGATAAAGTTCTCTTGTGTATAGATATAGTACATTTATATATTTGAGACGAATAAAAAGAACGGAAGAAGGAAAGAAAAGAAGAAGGGAAGGAGGGAAGAAAGAAAAATAAAATGTATTCTAACCCAGAAACATTCGTTCAGTAATGAAAAAGACATTCGATCGTAATCAAGACATATCTAACATTCGTCATACTAGTTTCGCCAGTTTCAAAAACGCATCACGTGAATATATTTGCATAGGAATGAACTGACGTCATTTGCATTCGCGTTTCGCGCCACCAATCGTCGTTGAACGAGAACGAGGAATTCAGCGAAGAAAAGAAAACGAGGGAAGGCGTATAAGGGAAGGAGATACTTCCTCTATTCCAATAACCAAGATTCGCGTATAAATATGTATTTCTCGGGGAGATATTTAATTATTCCGCGTGAACGTACACTCACTTTTTCCGCTTCCTCTTTTACCTTTTCATTTCTTTCGCTCGAACTCGTTTCGCTCCCGTTTCTTCTTTTTTCTTCGTTTTTTTGCCTGCGCTCGTTCTATCTCTCTCTTTTTCTCTCTTCTTTTTCTATTACTTTCCGTTCTTCTGTTATGCTTTATTCCACTACTAGCGTTCCTCATAGCGAGTTAATGAAAATGTCACAAAGATATGCACGGACACCACTGCAAGGGAATACACCGCGCGACAGCTGTAATCAATTATCTACAATTTACGAGGCTCAATTTACTTGGTTCGCACAATGCCCTGCGGGTACGGAAACTATGAGCGCGATGTAAGGTCGTAAAGTAACTGAATCGCTTTTATCCGGTACGTCTCCCTTTCTCTTCGTTCTCGATCTCACTCGGTTCACCCTTTTTATCGGTCTTTGGCTACGACGACATCGACTTCCTATAATTTTCGTAACACTTCACTGAACTTTTTCGCGGTTGGAAAAACTGGCGAAGAAAAAGCCTAACACGCTCGACAACGAAACATCGCTCGCACTTTCTGTCTCGCTTTTGAAATTGTTGCAAACTTCCGGAAGTTTTATCCTTTGACTGTTGGTCGAAGCGAAGGACGATGCTGCGTGCTGCGATACGCGCCGAATATGTGAATACGTGCCGAATTGTTTTATTGCGTATCCGAGCAATAACCGAACCGAGAGGAAAAAGCATTTGGACGCGTAGCTTGTTGTCAAAGTGGAAACACCGAGAT